TAATTGTTAAGGCCCCTACATTAATATCACATGACATCTTCGTCATCAATGTGGGCTACGGGGGATCTGATCCTATCCTGCGTTCAGGGTCCCGTGCTTGACTCACTTAAGGGTTTACTTTAACCTACCAGAACCTAGTTTTTGGTGGGTCCCTATAAATATCTATAGATTCTATATCAGGGTTCATAAGAAGAACCTACAACAAAGTAGTGTATGATAGGTTAAGGTAGGGTTTAGGGTTAAGGTTTTACGTATCTTTCGCTCACTTTCTTTTGACAGACTTGTCCCAGCAAACCCGGACAGTCACAAAGACAATGGCAAGGCAAGGTAGAATCGGCTGAGACAAGTGCTCGAAGTGCCACACAAGCAGAGCAAATAATCTGCAAGCCAAAAATTTCTAGACCTTGAAGTAAGCAGGGAGAAAAAATATAGACTTTCATTTCATAATGGTTCCCTTAAAGAACAGTATGGTACTCCAGAACTCAGATTAAGTTGCCATTTGCCGAACAACACCTGGAACACCAGGCCTCACAGAAACAGATCAAACGCCCTCAACCCTCAATCTCTGAATCGCTTCAACCCATGCATTCCTGAACTGCACCAAGTCTCCCTGAACCGTCAGCCAAATCGGCGAACGGGTAGAATACAGCCGGACTTCATAAAGTCCGTAGAATCGCGGCAGCAGCGTCCCAGGGTGCTTATGAATGTAAGCCTGCGGCAGAGAATGTTCGATCGCGCCAGGTCACTTTAACCCTACTACTACTACTACTACTACTACTACTACTACTTCTGCTACTAGTACTACTCTACTGCTACTGCTTACACTACCACTACTGCTGCTGCTGCTGCTGCTGCTGCTACAACAACAACTACTATTACTAGTACTACTACTCCTCCTATTCCCACTCCTACTCCTTTTACCCCTGTCCCTACTCCTACTCCTAACTGCTACTGCTGCTGTCACTGCTACTTGTAGTGCTACTGCTACTGCTACTGCTCCAGCTGCCCAATGCAGGCCGCCAAGGTGGACTGCCAGGAGATGCTGAAAGAAGCACTGAAAGAGGCGACCTTGCTCTGTGTTGATCCGCGTTCAGGGTGTATGTCCCTAAATCCCGAAACTCTGCACTTCTTCAGTTTAGGGTTTAGGGTTTAAGGTTTAAGGTTTAGGTTTAGGGTTGAGGGTTTAGGGTTCAGGGTTTAGGGTTTGGGGTTTAGGGTGTAGGGTTGGGCTTTAGGGTTCAGGGTTTAGGGTTTAGGGTTGAGAGTCCTACAGTCCGGACCCCCACCCGGCAGAGGCTTTGCCATAACCTCGAGACCCCAACCCCTAATAACAGGGGAGAGCACCATTAACGCAGAAGCCTAAATATTTACCAATATTCACCTAATAATCATATACTCTTCTGCATACTAACCCGCAGAACTACTATCCGCAAACCAAGTATATGATTCTTAGGCCCTTTGGACCCTTAGGGCCTTTGGGATTAGGACGTTTGCAACCTAGGATAGCCTTTTGCGGGAGTATGTAATTCTCAGTTGCTGGAACCCTTTTCGGTTGACTATATCTACAAAGCTATAAACCCTAGAAGCCCTTGAAGTTGGAGCCCTGGTCATAACGAGCCCCACCCGAACCC